ATCAAACAGTTATTTCCCCTGGCAACCAACCCCCTATTCTTAGGGACTTTCCCGAAGTCCCTAAGGACATCTAATTTTCTCTGGAGCTACTTCAGCATCTGAAAAGAAAAGATGCCCCAGTAACTCTTATCAATAAGGAAACTACAAAGGTTTGAGGCAGTATGTGGCAGAAGCCATGGAGGAAGACCAAATATATATGTCTTTATATAAATTACATCACAGAGGTCCAGCACATGTCTGCTATAGGCCAGTGTAATTGTTTTGTCTGTTCAGGCTGCTATAACAAAATACCATAGACTGGATGGCTAATAAACAAAGTTATTTCTCACAGTTCTTCAGGTTAGGAAGTCCGGGATCAAGGCAATGGTTTATTCGGTGTCTGGTGAGAACTCTCTTTCTCACAGACTACTGTCTTCTCACGGTGTCCTCACTGGGTGAAAGGATGAGGGGTTTCTCTGGGCCTCTTTTAGAGAAGTACTAATCCCATTAATGAGGGTTCCACCCTCGAGACCTAATTATCTGCGAAAGACCCTATCCCCAAACACCATCATATTGGGGATGAGGTTTCAACATATAAGGGTTTTTTGGGGGGAAGGGGTCACAAACATTCGATCCATAGCAATGGTCAACTAAAAGGGGGGTGGGGGAGGTTGCAGCTAGTCAGGCCTGGAATCAAACGGGCGCTCCAGAGTTTGTTAAGTGTATAGGGCCTTTAGCCTTTACTGAAGCTTAGGCTCCTCATACAGGAAATGCAAATTATAATACCTACCTTTAAAGGTTACCATAAACACTGAATTTATGCACCTACATAGTAATCAGGAGTGCTGGCTCTGGTGTCAGACCCAGTTCAAATATCAGCTCTTCTATTTATTGTGTGATCTTGGGCAAATTACTAAATCTGTGTTTCAAATTTCTCACCTGTAAAGTGAATAATAATATACCTGTGAAGACTAAATGAGTTAATACTCATATATATCAACTGCTTAAAAGGCTACCTGCCACACAATTGCTCAATTGTTATCTGTTCGTAACAGCAGAAATACAAATGACAACAACGATAATAACAAAATACTTCACACATGGTTGGTACTCAATATGTAATAATAATTATTATTACTGCCATAAAATTCTCTCATAAAGCATAGGGTTATCAGAGATTCCAGTGTATAGGCACCCTCTGATACTTTCATATATTCTTTACATTCTACTGTCTTTCCTCCCCTCTAAAGAAGCTCTATGGATTACATCAATATCAATTTCCTGGTTCTGACAGTGTATTATAGTTATATGAGGTGCTACCATGGGAGGTTGGGGGATTACTGAAGGTATATTAAAAAATAAAATTAAAAAAGAGGTATGGGGCTTGCCTGAAGTGAGAATATCCGGGCAAGAAATTGGACTTACTACCCATCTACTACTCCCCAGTTCCCTACTTCCCAGTCACCAGAATTCTAACCTTCTTCCTTACCAGCATGGGCTACTGGAAACCATGGGCACCTGACTGAGGAGAGCTAGGCCAGGCTCCCATTACATCAGGTCAGGTATGAATTTGTAAAGCGTTTGATCCATGAAATTCTAAGTGCAAGGGCCAATGGAATCTTGGTAACTTCATCACTAACACACCTAGTTATCTGTTATATAATAGCAGAAATACAAATAACAAATACATGGGATGTACTCCTCCTGACCAAAGTTGTAAATCCAAGTATTTTCTTCATGGAAATATTTCTCTCATGTTGTGACTAGGTTCTGCGACATTCATATACGTACCTTACAGATTAAATAAGCCCTTGTGGGCTAATCTGAGCATCTACGCCCTAGTCACTACCATGTTTTTATACATGTATTTCAAAGAACTGATCTGTAAGCAAACTTTCTAAATACCACCCATTTGTAAGTCACTATACTTGCTTGATGCTATTAACACAACATTTTTAAATTGAAGAGCAATAGCGATCTTTCACTGACTTCACGTTTCCAAATAGTGTTCTACTTAACACTAATGTCAGAGTTTTCACTACTCTCCCCCCACCCCCAAGTTGCTCAAATTGTTAGACCAAGGAAACTCTTTTTTTTTTTTTAAGGAGCACTTATTAACATCTAGTTCTGGGGAATTCTCCGTTTGAGAAACACTGCTGTAAGTCATATGATTGTCTGCTTGATTATTTGGTTTCTCAAGTTGCTCCTTCTGTCATATTTATATGTTAAAAATTAAAAATAAATAGTGTGTACATCCTTTCATTTTCCAATAATTTAGACTCAAATAAAAAGTAAAAAGTTTTAGAAAATCTATGCATGTTTGCCTGGTAGCAATAAAAATAGATATCAACCAATGATTTGTACACATCAATAATAAGTTTCTCTCCAATTAATTAGTCAAAACTAAACTTAGAAAACTAAGTTTAAAAAAAACTAGTGGTTCATCTCTTTCAATCAAGTTAATATCAACAGCTAGCCTTTTAAATCATCATCTCTTACCATTCAGTTACTTCACTGAAAATAAAGAAGTAGTTTTTCCCAGGCTCCCCTGTTTTCTTTTTTCCAGCAATTAATACCTAGAGTTTTGCTCAAGAAATTACATGCAATTCCCCAAAGAGTAACAGAAATTATAAGATCCATAGTCTAGATAAAGACAGATTTCACAATCTTCAATTTAGTGTATGTATCACGGGAATACTCCGAACCACTTAAATAAAATAATTATCAATTATAATTCTTTTTGAAATTACATTTGATCAACTAAAATCCTCTGTAAAGCATCACAAGTCTTGCTCTCACAAATCTCTCCCACAGAACAGAGTTTCCTTATTCAGAAAAGTGACTCTAAGAGAATTTCATGACACGCTGAAAGCAATTATCTTTGTAATACTTTAACTTTTCCTATACCAAAGCAGTAACAACTCAGGATATGAGCATCCTATTGGAAAACAATCTCATAAATAAGCATGTCTCCTTTTATCATGCTTCACTTCATTTCACTTTACAGGTGTTGCATTTTTTACCAATTGAAGGCAAGACCCTCCACCAGCAAAAAAATTATAACTTGCCTTATTGCAATACTTGCTTTATTACAGTGATCTGTAACCAAATTTGCAATATCTCTGAGGTATGTCTATATAGGTTTTATAGTGTTTGGTTATAACTTTATTTCATATACACACAGAAAGGATTGTTAAGTCTGTGTTAAAATGGTGTTGATGGCTAAATTTTACTATTAGTTCAGCAAATTGAATTTCTGATATCTCCTAACTACAGTTAGAGCTACCATATAGTCCCAATTAGGTGGCCAATCTGCATTTAGAGCTATTACCAACTCCCGGAGTAACTCCTTTACGCCTCTGATATATTAAGTATCTTCTGTCTAGAACAATTTTAAACCAGACATATAAACTGGATGGCAAACATATGACAATTTCAAATGAAACATTTAGGCCAGCAAAGACTACCTAAACATTATAGTTAAGGGTAATTGTTCATCTTAGCAAAGTGTGTCACAACTACTTTTAAACATGTTGAGGGCATTTACCCTGAAACTCATGTCTGATCTACTCCCGGAACCTCAACCCCGGAATGAGCATGATATCAAGTTAAGAATTCTTACAAGGAACCCAGTTTAAATTAAAAGCAAGAACAACTCAATCCACATTTGTAATCAAAAAGTGTTAACATGTTTTTAACCTTATGAAACATACACTGAAAGCAGCTTAGATTCAGATCTTGCATTTGACAGATAGTCACTGAGAGCATATGCCATTTACTAGGAGGTGCTGGCTACAGAGAGAACAAAAGAAATACGACCCTTGACTTCAGAGAGCTTATTGTCTAGAGAGGAAGGCAGGCCTTAGACAGACATTAAACAAGTAATAATACAAAAAAGAACTGAAATTACACATTATGGTATTTCCTGTTTGTACTATATCTTTCTAAGTGAGTAACTGGGATCACATCCTCCTTTTAGGAGTATTCTGCAGCGATCTTCCAGTTGTTCAATCAGAGACAACTAGTTGCCACTGGGACACATACATAATGGTAGACAATTTCATAACTTTTATCATGAGAGCTATGATGAAATTTATTCCAAAAAGTACAAAATACTTGTCTTAACACAGCATGTTAGCAAGATAACTTCTGATTGTAGGGTAGGAATTCACTAGTGATTTGTTTTCTTGAATTCTGCTTATGACAAAAATCCATGTTGGTGGAAAACACAGACATATTCCAGCTTTTCAACTGAATTTTCTTATCCTAAACACATATTTAAAAACAAAACAAAACAGTGCTCTAATGTGCAATGTTATTTCAATTAAATGGTTCTTTGGTTTATAAAGATTTATAATGAACATTATCGTTAAAATCCGCACTGAATTTCCATTCAAGTTAACCTTCAGGGTGAATTATTTCCAAGTACTGCTTTTGTTTGCCTAGACAGCTAAAATATACAAAATATTGAGGACTTTGAAGGTATTATCCCCATTTTAAACGTCTTATCTCTGCACGTTCTACTTTTAAAAGTGTTACATATACGTATAACGCACAAATACACATACACAAGTATGGACTGGGAGGGAAGGGGGACATCGCCCAATTAAACACACCCAAAGCTTCTATACACATACACACGCATACAAACGTTTTCCTCCCTACCTCAGTTGTTGCTGACTACTGTACTTCGTTTTCCTGCACATTTGAAGTGCTATTAGTTGGTATTTAAATATCCGAACTAACTGGTAAGAAATTGATATTTAAGCCGTTTCCTTCTTCCTTTTTCTGAAATATCTGAGTACGTTCTTTTGTGGTGTTACTTCTGCCTCTGGCAATAATATTCCTGATAAAGATGTATATCCTTAAATTTCGTTTCTCGACAGTTAAAAATAGTTCATTACTATGTAAGGTGCCACGGTACCCGCCTTACAGAACTTAGTACTTTGTGGCCAAGTAGCTACTTTATCTAGGACGAAATACCTAGGAGATGGTATCATCAGCTGTCCACAAGTTCCTACCTGTTGCGGGGACTTGGTCAAGGGGATGAATCAGATTTGCCTAATGAGTCCTTTTCCACCCATCGTCCCTCCAGCTTTCCGCTAAGCCTCTGGAACGCAAGTCACCCCTGCCAGTCTGCTCCCCAAAGCCCGGTCCTCGGAAGGCAAGGACCCCGTGCCTTAGAATGGAGCTCGGTGGGGACCGGGACAACGAGGTGTTCCGACAGCGCAAGAAGCCGAGGCACTTCCTGTAAATCCAGCGGAGCGCGCAAAGAATGCCCTGGAAGAGAGGACGCAACGCAGAAGAACGTAGTTTAACTCGGTTTCTATCTTGGACCCCAGAAATCTGGGGCGGCCCTTACCACTGGAGCTAAAGAAATCGTTCCCGGCCCTCTCCTTCCCCTTCCTGCCTCTCAAATCTAATTCTCTCCGCTTCCTCCCCCTTGTTCCGCAGGCACGTGGTCCCTCCCTGCCCGGCCCCCACCGTGCCCCTCCCCTCCCCTTCCCCCATACTACTCGTCCCCTCCCCACGCACCGCCCCTCCTCTCCTAGTTTTCAGGGCCGCAAGCCCCTTCCTCCCAGTGCCGCTCGCTTCCCCTTTTCGTTCGCTGTTCCGCCCCAGCTCTCCATCGTCCTTTCTGATTGGTCAAGTGCAGTGGGGCTTGGTCGGCCAATCGGCGAGCTGGACTAGCGGCGATGGGCGTGGCCGCAGTGCCGGGGCCCTCAGATCGAGGCTGTCTCCCCCTCTCAGCCGGCAGCACATTCCGCCGCGGTTGCCGCCGCCCGGCCCCGCAGTTGTCTTTTCTGGAGCTGCTGTCGCGCTGGGGTTAGGGCGGGGGGTGGGACGGGTGGGGAGAGGAGGAGAAGGCCGCGGCAGAGGCAGGTGAGAGGAGGAAGGAAGCGGCGGCGCGGGGAGCACAGCAGCTCAGGCGGCGGCCCGGTTCCTGGGAGTGTCGGTGCGGCGTGGTGGTTGGGGCGGATCCCGCGGGGCCCGGGCGGGGGAAGGAGTCACCGGCCCGGCCATGGCGGACAACGAGAAACTGGACAACCAACGGCTCAAGAATTTCAAGAACAAAGGCCGCGACTTGGAGGTAAACTCGGGGGTGCGGGAGGGGTGAGGGCTGTGGACCTCGGACCGATCTCCGCCGGGACTTCGAGTTTGGGGAGTAGGGGCGGGAGCTGCCGCCCGGCCGCGGGGGAATGGCGCTGGGGGCCGGCCCGTCCGTGACGCCTTTGCTAACGCGCCGGGAAGTTTGTGTCGGGCCTGGTCCGCCTCTGCCGGGGAGCGAGGTGCCGGGGTACCGCCGGCGCGGCCTAGGCCTGCCCGGCAAAGCCGGTCCGTCGCGGGTGCGAGGGGCTGGGCCGCGCCGCGGGGACGCCGGGCGCGGCGAGTGCGGAGGAGGCGTGCGTGCGCCGCGCCGCTCCGGCCCGGTTGCGGCCCCCACCCTGGCAGCGGCGAAGATTCCGGCTTTCTCTCCGGCACCGGCGTTTGGCGCCGCGGGAAGGAGTGCAGTGGGAGGTGCGGTGGGAGGGGTGTGAGCGTGTGGCGACCGAGTGGGGTTCGGAACTTCCTCAGCGAGGCCCGAGGCGTCTCCACTTACAGGCATTTTTTTCTGGTCTTCCCGATTCCCGCTTTACCCCTGCCTCCCTCCAATATTCAAACTACAGGAGTCAACTTCTCCGTTGAAAAATACACCCCCGGCGTGAGTGGCCATCCTGGTGATGCTAACAGTGCCTTCCTGCGGCCTCTGTTTTGCTATGGACATAGCTGATTCAAGATGTGGCTCACCGTGTGCCCTCTTCAGGCAAAGGATGCCCCTTAATTCAGCTTATTCACAAATCTCTTTACCCCCCCTTGAGAGACCACCAGCTGCATTCTTACCTATAAAGTCCAAAGGGTTATACAAAGCTTTCATCCTCTAGTCTACAGTATCCTTTCCCTCCACCTGCTGGCGGTGGTAGTGGGTGGTGGGGTGGGCTAGGGAATGGCACCATCGCGTTTTATTATTTTAAAAGAGTAGGAAAAAACCCTTCATTACCTCATATACAGCTGCTCCCCGAGGTTCTTAGGACACATAAGGTGTGAGGGTTAAACACACACACCCAACACAGATTTTTGATAGACTTTTTCCCTTCAGTTTTAAGAGTTTGCATCAATAGGGGTGGCGGGGAGGGGGGGGGTGTGTTTAATCCATTCTGCATCGGAATCAAGAGTTTAGCTTTTAAGAGAAAGTGGTGAAGTAGTATTTTTTATGTTGTCCTTCTGTACTTTTGTATGCTGAAATCTTCAAATTCCCATCACCTGTTTCTGAACTTTGACCATTGCTTGACTGACATGGTAACTGTTTTTTGGGCTTTCCCCAAAGCCATTTTATCTCTGAAGTGGGTTTCAAAGTTTGAGGAACTATTGGTGGCGGGGTTTTTAAAGAAAAGAAAAGGTTAAAAAGAAAAAAGAAAAAAAGTCGCAAATGACAAAACTTAAAGACAAATACTACACAGTCAAAAAATCCAGAAAAATAGTATCGGTGCTTGACAAATTCTTGTAATCCTTTTCCCACCGTTTTTGCCTACATTTTTTTAAACAATTTTGTTGAGACGTAATTCTCATACTTTATAATTCACACATTATTTAATGCGGCTTTTGATATTTTCACATAGTTTTACAGCCATCAATACAATCACTCTTAGAACATTTTCATCACCCCAGGAAGAAACCCAAACTCATTAGCAATCACTTTCCATTTCCCAGTTACTCTTTGTCTTTAAGATTTGCCTACTCTGGATATTTCATATAGAGTTATACAATATGTGATCTTTGTGGCTGGCTTCTTTCAAGTAGCATCATGTTTTTAAGATTCACGCATGTAACAGTGTATGAGTGCTTCATTCTTTTTTATGGCTGAATAATATTCCACACTATGGATATACCACATTTTGTTTATCCATTTATCTGTTGATGGACATTTGCATTGTTTCCACTTTCTATCATACATAATGTTGCTATAAACATTCATGTACACATTTTTGTGTGGACCTATGTTTTTATTTCTCTTTGGTTGTATACCTAAGAATGGAATTACCTGGTCACATGGTAACTTTATATGGAACATTTGATAGAATTACCAAACTGTTCTCTTAAGTGATCTTTATTTTTTAAATTGATGTTCTCCCTTACTGTGTATCTCATATTACTTTAGTCAAAATAAGATAAGATTAAGTGCTGACTCTGTATTAGAACAATATTATGATATGTGACTTATAAATCCACGTTAGGCAGATTTTTTTTTTTTAAGATGTCCTTCGTGCCTTATGGGCATCCTCTGCTGACTTTTATAAACCTGTGTGTACATTAGAATAGGAATATTTTTACTTTTCCACCTAAGGAAATGGCATATAACTCTAATGGAAAGCCATACTTTCTCCTCACTTGTGACTTACTCAAAGTCTCACATGCCTGTATTGAGATAGAATCATCTTTTATTATGAGATAGAATCATCCTTTATTATCCTTAGAGTACACTAGAATGGCCTATTTTATGTATTTGTTAATAACATTTATGTCTGTGTCCCTCAAAACACTTATGCACATTTCCTCCCCACCCCCTTCAAATATGGTTCTGTGTTGTACTACGATAAATTCTAAATACATACTACTTACGCCTTGGTCGCAATCACATGTTTCATTGAGAGGTCTTTGGAAAGAAGCATGTATGGACCAGTGCTGTCCAATGAATTTTATTTAATCCAATATTTCCAAAATACCATTGCAACATCTAATTGATGTTAAAAATTAATGAAATATTTTATATTTTCATACTAAGTCTTCAAAATCCAGTTTGTGTTTTTTACATGTACAGCTATCTCAGTTCAGCATATCAGGTGCTTAATAGCTGCATGTGGCTAGCGGCTACCTTATTGGACAGCACAGATACAGAGGGTAGTACTTAGAGTAAGGTAGCAGCATTTTTCAGTTTAACCCAACATTTTGAAATTACAAAGAGTACAAAGTCCTAGAGTTTAATGTGATCTCTAACTTTGTGACCTTAGGAGAATCAGACTTACAGGTCTTTTCTCATTAAAACTAGAGGTACTCTGCATCTGTTTCATGAGTGTTGTGTAGTTTAAGAGGTTAATCTTAGGAGGATGCCTAGTGCTCTGAGCATGTTATCACCTTCAGCTTTTCTGGTTGAGGGGAGAAAAAGAGTTTAAAAGGATTCAGTAATTTTTTCTTTTACTAATTTGTGACTCTTACTTGTTTGGGGGGGTTTGTATTTGTTTGTTTGTTTTTTTTTTTTTTTTTTGGTGTTCATATATAATTTAAGTTGAACTCAAAATAATAAGGAACATTTTTTACTTTATTTTTTAACTTTTTTTTTTGTTTACACTATTACAGTTGTCCCCATTGTTTTTCCCCCTTTGCCCTCCTCCACCCAGCCCTTGCCCTCCCTTCGTTCAGGCCATCACCAACACTGTATTATGTGTCTATGTTACTTTATTTTTATTGTTGACACTATTATGTAGAAATAATGTTATTGCTCATGGACGGGCAATTTGGGCACAGGGAATCCGTGACTTCTAAAGTCATAGTTTCTAAATGTTATAGTTAAAACTGATTCACAGTTTCCAATCTGCTATTCACTCCTATATTTCATTCAACTATTCTGGCTCCTCCAAAGTGTGGTCATGTTAACTTCTTGAAAGACAAAAACATCAAAGAAAGCATATGCCAGTATCCATTTAAAATAATTTACAGAAACTGTCAGATGATATCCAGTGCTTGGCTTCTTTTATGTAGTGTGGAAGGGGATCATCATTGAATTAGTTTGAGAATAGTAACCATAGGATATGCACAATGCCAACACAGGAAATGATAGTGACCAAACCTCAAAGAAAAAATTTGTCAGAATAAAGCAAATTAAACTCATCTAGTTTATGTTTTAAAAGTAGATGGAGAATTCTCTAGTAGATTTTCTGATAAACCTACATAATTTTTATAGTTCTGAGTATTCAGGTTTGACTAGAGCATACAATAAGTTAGAAGAATAATTAGATATTTTAAACACACAACTTTAAGTGAAAAAAAAATCCTGAAAGCAAAAGAATATTAAAATACTAAATAAGTGGGAACTTGATTGTCCATGTAGCATAAAATATGAAGCCAGCTTGAACTTTCAAAAAAAAGTTCTTGGCTGGCAGAAGTTTAATAAATTGATCAGCTGTTTTGTTGTTTAGTAATGGCCTTGGTGATTTGTTAAACTGTACAGAGTGAAAAGCATTGTTAAGCTATTAAGTCTTGTTAACATTTAGAGACTGACCTCTCTCATCACAAATCTTGGAACATATTTACTATACTTAAAATAACTACTGTCTAATTTTTCATATAATAGTCCAAGCATGTGACAGTATGATATATCTGATAGAAAT